AACCCTAAATCAACTATCACCGATTGAAGGGGAAAAAAAACAAAGTCTTGGAAAACTTCTTTGAAAATTTGGAACTTCCTATCAATTTTTGTACCTAATGAATCACTCCTATGCGTACATAAATAAATATATACATTTATTTTTAATTTATTTGCTTTAAATTTTATTGGTACAATGTTTAGAGAATAAATATTTTGAGTAACCTTGAGATTAAGCTTTCCTTCCTAATTACGTCGACCATTCATTTATGGTTGATTGTCCAACTTAGAGGTCTCTTTTAAATTTTATCCCAAAGTGCGTGTAAGAGTATCCTATCCAAAGATTCATGACTGTTTATGTTAATTAATGTTCGAATAATACTTCCAAAACTGATCCACCATTTTTACCAACTTCCATAAACTTTATTAGTTGTCAAAATATAATACTATTAGTTGTGTCTCTCTTCAGAGGCAGAGTATGGAAATTATAACAAATGGTAAGGTATATGAATATAGAATATTTGGTTAAACCTCCATTGGGCTGTTGGCTTATCAAGCACTTGCCCGCTGGCGGAGCGCTCGTTATCCTGACTTTTCTCTCTGCTGGGCCCTCCAATTGCTATAGCCATAAGTATTTTTCACGTGGAATGAATTATGAAAATAGTATGGCAGAATGGTATGATTATATGACTAGAGAACAGATAACCAGGAAAGAAAGGAGAAAATCATGTATTGGTTAAGATAAATCCATTTTTTATAAAAAATAAAAAGCGAAGAGTTTTTCAATTTTTTATGACACTTCTTAATTGTTAATTGAATAAAATTATTACGGGTCTTTCTTCCCACTCATGAAGAACAATAAAGTGAGGGGGAGGGCTTCCGTGGAAAAAGAGTAAGATTGGGATGAGAGGGTGAACACTAAAATAGTAGTCACCAAATTTGACTATTTTTTTTATGAAGGCGAATTGATAAGAAAAGGTACTTCCATGTGTATAAAATAGTAATTCGAGTGAGATTGTCATGGCGCAAAATCAGATATTGTCCGGTATTCCATTATTTCCTGTATTGTTATTTATATCTCGTCAAAAAATATACGTCATTTTGGGACACATGCACATAGCCGTCGCGCGTGGCTAAAGGTCAACCAAAAAAAAGAGCTCAACAGTGAGTTCCACTGTTTTTGAGTTCAACCAAGCTCTTTTTTTTGAGTTCCACTGAGAAAGTCAAAGTTTCCAACAGTGAAAGGTTGCCCCTGTCGGCGGGTTGCTTAGGTCCATGTAGTCCAAATCTTCGCTTAGGAAAGAAGTCCAAATTTACTTTTTGCGAAAGGGAAAATGGCTTTCGTTTGTCTCTTGAAAATGGTTTTATTTATTTATTCTCTTGAAGGTCTTTTTCTCTATTTTATTTCATGGTATCAAAGCCAACAAGAGAATTAGGGGTGCTTAAAAAGAAGCCAAAACCTGCTTGTTTAAAGAATATTTTGATTGAGTTATTGATATAAGGAAAAGGAAAGTAAGTAAGATAAACAAAAAATACTTCTTTTTCTTTGAACCCACCCAATCAAAAATCTTCATTTTCTCAAAGTATCCTTGGAGACTCAAGTAGATGCCCGTTTACTTATTGTTTCTCATATGAATCTTTTGTCTCCGACTATTGGGGATCCCATTTCCGTACCAACACAAGATATTCTTTTTCGACTCTATGTATTAACGAGCGAAAATTATCGAGGTATTTGTGTAAATAGATATAATCCATATAATTGCAGAAACTATCAAAATCAAAAAATAATAGCGCAAAAGTAGGCGGCGGAGATCCGCAAAGGTAACTAGATGCCTGGGGCTTAGGACAAGGAGCGTCTGGGGTCTCTTAAGAAAGGACAAAGACTAATTAATATCATATTTATACCGATCGGATTTAAAAAAGATAGATCGATCATAGGCTTGACTGTGCCTTCAGACGAGAAAGAAAGAGTAGAAAGATAGGTTTTCCACCGATTAGTCAAGCAAAGCTAACCGAAGTTAAGGTATTCATTCAAACAATAATGACATACCGATAAAAAAGGATCTCCTTCCGATTTTGATGAAGCAGATAGAGAAAATAAGGTTGTTTCCGGGCGCCTCGATGAATCGAGGAGAAAAGCATTTACCCTTTCGAAAAAGGATGGAATGACAACCTGTGGTACGAGAGCCTTTAGCACAAGAGCGAAGGATGACGACTGATTCAATTGCCCTCTCTACTCAATTGATTGAATATAGTTGCGTGAAGCAGCANCGACCTGTGGTAAGAGAGCCTTTAGCACAAGAGCGAAGGATGACGACTGATTCAATTGCCCTCTCTACTCAATTGATTGAATATAGTTGCGTGAAGCAACATAAGTGCTAACCTGATCTAAGGAAAGAGGGGGAATGCTAAAGCAAGGCTATTCCGGGGTGTCAAGCGTCTGTAGGCCTATCAGCCATGAAGTACGCATAAGCGGGAATAGGCTAAAATGATGGTTATAAGGCATCTAGAGGGCCTGTTCGCAAGCCTTTGTCATTGTTAGTCAACTAAGTAAGGTATTTTCCTTTTTGTTTGAATAAACCATTCTCATTATCTTTAATAAGTAAAGTAGGCAAACCTATAGGTCCTTAGTAGCGTTGACAAAGAAAAATGAGCCGGTTAAAAGAAAGCGGATCTTTTTATTTTTCTTATAATTATATAATAATATAAAATAGAAAGAAATCCACCCCCAACTAGAAGGAGTTCCCTTTCGGCTAGGATAAATAGCCGAGTTCAAAGGAGAGATTTATCTCGCGCCACTAGGTATTCTCTACCTAGCTACCTGTCTCGCTTTCGGGTAGAGGTAGGCTCTTATAAGATACAAGATGCTTAAAGCCTTTCAAGCTGATGTCGCTCATTCTTTCGTTGTTGCTAGCTTGCAGTCACTCGTCTCTTTGTTGCTAGACGAGTCTTTTCCTTCGCTCATGTCGCTTTCCGGTCACTCTTCCTCTTTATTGGTTGCTNGTAGAGGTAGGCTCTTGCAAGATGCAAGATGCTTAAAGCCTTTCGAGCTGCTGTCGCTCATTCTTTCGTTGTTGCTAGCTTGCGGTCACTCGTCTCTTTGTTGCTAGACGAGGCTTTTCCTTCGCTCATGTCGCTTGCCGGTCACTCTGATTCTTTATTGGTTGCCAGCCGGTCGCTAGTCCGCCTCACTCTTGATTGGTTTGAAGGCTTCTTTAGCGGCGTAAGCAGAAGACTGTTGAAAGTTGACGAAGGCTAGACAATGTATAACACTCTGTCAGTGAAGCCCCTACTATGAATGAGCCTCCATTTGAGCTTTCAAAGATATACCGACCTACGACATCTAACCATCAGATGTCGTAGGTCGTCTTCTAATATTACCGACATTTCGGGTTTTCATAAATTTCACATAAGATAAAAGCTTTTTTCATCATCAGAAACAAACCTGATTTCCGACCTCTTGCATTGCATTACCATAACGAAAAGAAAAAAAGAATTCAAAAAAAAGAGAGATTGCTCTTAGGTACTCACAAGTTTTATTAGAAAAAGAATTTTTCTTTACATTTGTTTCGTGATTGCCCTTATCTCTTTGTCTTCGAGGAAGGGTCTTTTCCCTTCTCATTACTTTCTCCAGTGTGCGCAAATAGAGATGCCACTTTCAATGATGGACATCAGCCCTTGTGTTAAAGGTGCTATTGCGGCTACACCTCCCGCTTTGTCAGGTATACTACGAAGAATGGCATGGATCGATAGGAAATACCATTCTGGCGTTCAGTCAATCTACGCAGAGTGAATCGGTCCCTAAGGAACCCCCGAAAGGGCTGCCGTCCGATGGGTACCCAAGGAGCTGTAGCTTTACTTAGATAGGGCTTGACTGCCTTACCTTCTATTATATTAGTAAAGGGCCTTTAGGCCGAAGAAATTAGTTCATGCCACGACGATCTATATGGAAGGGAAGTTTTGTTGATGCATTCCTCTTGAGAATGAAGAAGAAGGCCAGCCAGTTTTTCATTAAACATGCATGATATTCTTCAACTGCACAAAAGTTATGCGGAGAACTAGTAAGAATTGTGCCTGCCATCCAATTTTTGACCGCGGTCAAAACAAGACTTACGGATAACAATCATACCTTACCAGGGACATGGACCAGACTATAGAGCCTAATTAAAAAGAAGTGCTTTTAAGCAAAAAAAAATAAACGGGATTACCAAACTTATACTTTTTGACTTGTTTTAAGCACTTTTAACTTGTTTTAGCACTTTCTTATTTTGTCAAAGATTTTAAAAAGCTAAAAAGAAAGTCGATTTGATCGGCTTAAAAAGCCAATCTAGATATCCTTTTAGGACCCTATTAGGCTTTTCTTTTCCCTTCCCCGTTATGCCAATTGAAAGTATCTTATCGTAAGTGTCAATTAAGTTTTGGAATTCTTATGTTCTCTACCATACGTAGAAGCCCCTATTTTTCAACTGAATTCCAACTTGGTCCATTTTTCAAAATTCCAACTTGGTCCATTTTTCAAAATTTAAATGGTTTACTAGGCTAATCCCAGTTCAGGACATCTTACCAAATACAAAAGCAACAAAACAAGTTTCCTTAAGAACTGTAATCGGAGTAATCTGGGTTTGTCTTAGTTTAATTTGTTAAAGAAATTCTTTTGGCATTTGCTTAATGAAAATCTTCATACCTATCCATAGCAAAGGAACGACCAGTTCCAGAGTAGTAGAAAGAGAAGAAATATTAATTGAAAAAATCATCTGCACGGCTGAAACTGGTCTATAAGACGCCAGGTAGATTATTCTGAAAGCACAATAATATGTTCTACAATTCTCCATGTCACCATTTTATCATTTCTTTTACCAATTTTTCCTTGCTAGAGTTATGAAGCTGGACATCTTAAGCGACATTGTTAACTTAACCAAACATGGAATAAAAGTTTTGGCATTTTATCAAGTCTTTCAAATTGATGGTCCACCAGGTATAGTCCTTAAGGGAAAGATACCAAAAAATCAAATCTCCCAAAGACAAGGAAAAAAATAACCTATACTTGTATAAATACAGCCACAACAATGCAACCACAGTGAATGAATAGACAGCAATCAGAAATTGGCTACTTGACCTTGGCTTCATTAAAAGCAAATAGAGGATATAAGCTTTTCCCACATTCCACGATGCTGAAAAAACAACACAATCACTGCTTAACCCAAGATGAAACAACCCACAATTTCATGCTTTTCTTTAGACATACTTTTGGACAGAAAGAACCACTAAGCCAAGGCAAGTGTGCAAAAAAACAGAGTGCCAATTCCCAACTAAGCCTGGTTGCCACCTCCTCTTGGACGGGGGCCCATTCGTCCACGGCCACGGCCATAACCTCTGCCACCTCCACCCCTGCCTCTTCCATAATCAGAGCCTAAGTTCATATGTATAAACAAAGATTCAAAGCAAATACATAATATAACATTGTAAGAAATATCATAGTTAAAACCCAAGAAAGTATTCATGCAAGCAGTACTATATGGACACTCAAGAAGTGCACTTACCAGGATATCCCCATCCACCACGGCCCCCACCTCGACCCCAGTTTGAGTAACCACCATTTTCCCGGCCCCAGTTCGAGTAATCACTATTTTCTATTAAAATAAAATTAGCACCGGTTAGGTATCACATCATCCCTGCATTTAATGAGCATATTACTTCCCAGAGATCTTAAGCAACAGAAGAATACCTTGATAGTTTCCATATCCACCTCTGCTCCAACCACGTCCCCTCCCTCTACCACGACCTCGTCCTTGTCCTCGCCCATATGAATCTAAAATAAAGGTGTAGTAATTCAAGATGTTACGCAATTTTCCACTTAAGTTGAGTTTAATTCTGCAAATATCTTAATCTAGTGATTTTGTCTGGTTTCTCATTACCTTCATTACCAGCATAGTAGACTGCCCGTGTTTGTCTAGGTGGTTGCTGCTGCAGTTGAGGCTGGTAATTTCTGTACTGTGGCTTCATTTGTTCAATCTCAACCCCGGAAGGAGCTTGATACCTATGAACATGAAGTTACATTTTGAGCCAGGAAAAGTACGATAGTAATCAGTTACAGCCACAATATTTCGGCGATAAGACACCAAAAATATACAGTAACTATCATAGGAAAGAACAATTCAGACAAAGATCATTGATTAGTTGCCAGAATGCATGTTGAACAGCAAGAGGAGCAAACTTCATAGAATCAGACAAAGACAGAGAGTTACCCAGGAGAATTCGTGTTCAGTTCCTTTGCTGACAAGGTGATCGAAATCATTGACACATGGCGGGTCTGCTCTACACTTTAATGCATATAAACCAATTTCAAGAAATTAGTACCACATGCATACTGTTCATGCTTAGGGATATACACTACAAAAAGAAAACATTATGGGAGTAAATCAGGATTGGAACTTACGGCAAAAGACCCTCTTCGAGAGGCTCCCATACATCTGTTATGCTTACTGAGCTGATAGCCGTGTCTTGATGCAGTTGAGACATTCTTCTCTGCAAAAGATTAAGATAATTGAGTTACATCTTATCATATAAAAGTAGGAGAAGGAAGAGAAAAAGTAGAGAAAGAAAACCATCTACGCCAAGCTACCTTAATGATCTCTGCTATAGCAACTGTTTTACTAATTGCCTGACCCATTGCTTTCAAGACAATCTCTTTCCCACGCCTCTCCTGAACAGTCAATTATGTTTAGAACTTTGTATTAGCAACTAACAGAAAAATGCTGGTTTTACTATTGCAAAGGCCAAATGACCAAGAAAATCGTCCCACCAAAAACAAAGGGATGAAAAAAACTTAATCTACATATAACCACTCCTTAAAACCTCTGCTTGTTTCCCAGTAATGGATGAGCTGACCAATAATATTAATGGTGAAATTCCATAAAATGGATGCTATTTGCATGATACTGTGTTAATTAAAGAAACTAGCGATATCATGTAAGATTAAATATTGAGCCTTAGAAGCACCACATATCAATAAGATGGGTGTCACAGAACTTTGGATGTTAAGACTACCATGCGGTCACGCAAGAACATATGATATTAGAACACATCTGACAGATGGCTCAAATAGAACATATAGATGATAAAATGAGACAAAGCTGCCTGAGATGGTTTGCAATGTTCTAACTAGACCTCCAAATACACAAATGCGACACTATGCTGATTGAATGTTAAAAGAGGATATGGAGAAAAGTTGTCTTAAAAAATTCAAAATCTCTCACAATTTCATGTTGTTTAGCTAAGAGCATAACATAACGTAAGTGCCGAATCTATATAAATGTGTTATCAATTAGATGAGGTTAAAGTTTTGATATTCTATACTTACATTAGGTCCGAAGTAAGATGCAGAAAACCAATAATTTCATATTTTTATTAAATGACAAATTACTTAGTATTGGAATGAAATGATTTGAATAGAATTAAATGAATATAGGGAATTCATATAGCCACTCCAACTGATGTAGCATTGAAGTGTAGTTTATAGATTGATTGGTTATAACCACTCATGTTAGTACTTGAAACAATCATATTTTCAGGATGTTAAATTTTAAAAAAAAGTTGCTCAGACCAGCAACTTCTGTCAAACAGTTTATCGCATCTTGATTCAAAAAGCATATTTTTGAATTAGCAGAGAACATATTTTGAAGTGTAGCTAATTTTGGTTGCTTGATGTAAGAACACAACAAAAAGCAGTCCAAAGACAAATACTGGAAAAATTATAAAATTTTTAGAAGAAACCAGCAGTATTCTAATCTGCATCATAAAAAATATCAAGCAATTACAGAAACCCCATTTTCCTCCACCTTTTCATTATTTATTTGCTGTAGCGTAGGAAATTTACAGCTGTTTGATGCATCAAATTAGGCAAGCAGGTTGCCTATTAATGCAAAAGTTACCCTAATATTTCACATTGTAAAGCAGAGTCACATCTGTGGTATATTTCAAAACGTCCACTTAACCATTTTATATCCTAGGTGCGTTCACTTGTTGCTAATCTTCTCCTACATATGTACATATCAACACAGCCACTTTAGAATTTGCAGAGCCTATCACTTTTCCCTACTCTATCTCCACCCCCAACCACCACCACCAACATCACCCAATCACTTTTTTCCTTTTATTATATTTTAACTCCTATAAAGTTTGCAATCTGTAATATAACTTAACCTAACAGATATATGATAAAGCTGAAAGGTTAATGCAGTTACGTAAACTACATTATGTCCATGTGAGCCCCTTAGTCACATTTTAATTCCACAATAAAAACAAATATCAGAAGCATCGTTCCAATCCAATACAACAACAAAAAATTTATAAGAAGAAGAAGAAGAAACAACACACAGGATCCATTACAAATATTTGGTTATGAGAAAACAAAAGTGAAACGGGAAAAATTGAGAAAAAGGAATCGGAATGGTGAGTACCTGAAGAAGAGTAGTGGCATAGGTGATGTAGTTACGAACCAAACCCTGTGAAGTGATTCGGATCTCGTTCTCATTTATGGGTAATTCCTGCTTCGGTTTTTCTACTTTTTGGTATCTATCCATTTGGAACCACAACAACAACCCTAAAACCCCAGCTTCTCTGTTTGTGTGTGAGAGGGAGGGAGAACTGAGAAAGAAATGAAATAAGCTAAACCCTTAACAACTACAGTTACAGCCACGTGGATTACATTTTAAACATGGAGTTTTGGGCTTTTGAAAGGCCAATGTATTGGGCAGTACATTGGAATCAGGACTGTATGTGAGCCTTCAAATCAGGCCTTTTTGAGATTTGAAGAGTTTGAGCCCAGTTAATTTCCTATTTTTCTTTTGGGATTTTTATCGTATTTATACGACGTTTTAAACTTATTTACTCAATTTTAACTAGATTTTTATATTTATAAAAAGTAACTAAAGTATTTTATAAAATATATACATAAATCGGGTTAAAAGCTATAATGTATATGCAGATTGAATGCTCCCCCGGTCCATAATAAGTAACCATTTTGCCCTTTTATTTTGGTTCAAAATAAGTTTTCTCTTTACATAATCAAGAATGAATTAACATTAGTTTTTTAAATTTTTTCTTATTTACATATCACAATGTATCAAGTTAATAATATGCAAATTTTAATTAAGGTTATTTAGTCAAAAAATTCTTTTTTATCTAGGAATTAGTATTTTCTTAAGGGGTGTACCAAAGGTCAAAAATTTACTTATTGTGGATCGGGGGATATTTAACTTTTTATATATACAGAACATGATCAAAAGCTATAATTTACATACAATTTATATATAATTATGTCATTTGTATGAATTTCATATGTCGTTTGTACTCGCGACCTACAAAATATATACAATTTATTTATATCGTCTTATTCGAGTTTTAGTCTAAAATTTCAACAAAAATCAACTTAAATCTTCACAAAATTCTCTGAAAATTGAGATATAAGCTCCAAATGATATTCTCAATCATTCAAAAACACATAATCTAAATAAATAATAATTTCACAAAATTCGATTTCCGAAATCAAAGTTTCAAAACTTTTAAATGGTCGTCAATGGAGTTTTTAATGAATTAATAGAGTTTGAATCCAAAATCTTTCTTCGAGAGGCGAACAAGCTGAACAATTTGATCAATGATAATGATTCAACAGCAATGACAATAATCCAATAACACATAGCATAATTTTATTTCTTTAAAAGAATCCAGAAAGGAAACCTCATGAAATAAATATTTTTATTAAGTCATGTTACTCATATATCTACTAGTTTAAATAGTTAAAATCAAAATTTTAAAATATAGGTATGAACTAACTAAATATTTTATGACGCATCTTGCTTCCAGTAATATCCAATGGATATCACACTCACAATGGAGTTGGGTATTGGAAAAATCAATTATGGAGTACCCAAATTTGTCCTTTTGATTATGATTGTTGCATTTAGTGAATTTTAAAAGAATAATTTGATTGAATAATCAATCATGCGTGAGAAAGAAAAAGAGAAAGAGAAAGAGAAAGAAACGAGAGAAAATAGGTAATATTGGAGTCTAATACATTATTTTATATATAAATAGTAATTGTATATGTTAATATAATTAAATAAAAACATCTCTAAGAGAAGTAAATATGTTTATAATGCAGCATAAATAGGTAAAATTTCCTCTTTTAAGTAAAAGGAACACACTAGACTTAAACTTGGCAAAAGAAACCAGAGTACCCACACCAATACTTACATTAAATTATATTACTTAATCGTAACTAAGTCATTTATTGAGATAAAACTATAGATCAATTAATCATGATTATAGTGATAATATGTGTTTAATAAAACACGTGTTATGTATTCATCACTTTGTATCAGATGTGAATAGTTTTTTTTCAAGATTAGGAAGTATAATTTCACTTTGTGAGAGTATGCGATAAAAAGAAAGTCTTAACATTTCTATATGTGAAGCGGTAATGTTAGTAGAATTTAATTTATGTTATTTTTGTATAAAAAGTGTTAAACATAATTTAACCAACTCTAATAGGTTATCTATCTTTTTGCCAGGATATCATTCCATACAATAATGTAATATTTTTCTGCAATTAGTCTTTGAAACCTAATTATGTAAATATATTTTCACATAGTTAGCATATGAATACAACTTAAAGGCTCTCAGAAAAAAATTACGTACTAAACATTTTGCACCACATTTAGGTCATTAAGATAACATGGACTGATGGACGGTTTTCACTTTTCAGTATCACAAGAAAAGCTGCGTAGAAATAAAAATAAATAAATAAATAAAGGTTTGCATAATTATCAAAAAACTCGTTGCATGTAGTTGAAATTCTTATCGATTTTTAAAATTGTTATGAGTCGACCCAAAAAAATTATTACGAACACTTATTCCTCATATTTAATTGAGCTATTTCCGTTTTAAATCTTCATCACATGAAAGCACGATTAGCATATGGACTCTTTTTGGTCTGCGCATTTTCCAACATAATTAGTATAAAATAATAATGATAAATGACCAAAAAGTGCATATTTTTAGGGCGTTTTCATCTTATTTGTCGTGTGTGTTGCGAGAGATTACATGATTTTAAAGCAAAATATACTCATTACGTGTTTCTTGTGTGTAGGAGTGAGTTCGGATGATAACGGATTAAAAGATATTAGATTGTTCCAAAAAGGAAAAAATGGAATGAATGATGGGAGTTACGTCTATTCTCGTGCATGGCACGAAAACGGACGCGAAAAAAGAGACAATTGAAGGTACAAAACAGTGAAGTGAAGCAAATGTATGAATCGCTTCTCGAAGTGGAAGAATTTCAAAAGCTGAATCCACGTCCATGGGCGCGCGACGCGCAACCATAGACGCGGATTCCGGCTTTTCCCATTCGAGTTTGGATTGATTAGTTCCGTCCCATACCAACTCTAAGTGATATAAATATATCAAAGAATGCCCTTTTAAGGGTTACATAATATCTTTGAAGGCAAGAACAAGCAAGGAGCAAGGCGGAAGATTCAGAAATAATTTTTTTATCTTTTTTCTTCCTTTTTCTATTATTGGTGATGAATTCTAATATTGTAGTTGTGCAAACAATTGTGAGTAGCTAAACTCTTTTATCTAGGGTTTGATGGAACCTCTTGGAGGATGATTTTTTATTGCGTTTAATATAAATTTTTTATTGAATTTTCTCTACTTGTTCAACTATGATATTATTGTTGTTGATTGAAGGACCCTCACTTGAGTGTGTCTATTTAGTGTGTATTGCTTGGAAAATGGTATATATTTAGGTAGTTATTGAACATCATTACTCCTAATGTATTTGAGGAATCAATACGAAAGGTTCAAAGGTGGTCTTAGGAATAACGAAACCTTGGTGTGATCTTAGTGGAAGGTAAATTAATGACAGTTAGTGTAGTTTGGGAGAATACGTCTAGTAAATTATGATAGTTGCTCGAACGAGAATTACTACACCCGAAGTGCTCACGGTCGGTAGAGAATACTTAGGCGAATTTATAGGAGACGTAGCAGGGAGGATTTCAACAATTGGGTAAATCATAACTCTAGACTTTTTTAATCTTGTCTGCAACCTTTGCTTTATTAGTAATAAAATTACAACATTTTAATTGTTTGACTTTTAGTAAGTAAACACTCAACTCTTTATTCAATATTTTTGGAAGTTGATTACTTGAATTCTTGCGAAACTAGTAGTTGTGATTAGTAGGTTAATTCCTGTGGAATTCGACTCCAGATTTATAAACCATAGTATATTTACAACGATCGCTAGACCTTTAGGAGGTATAGTTGGCGTGATCAAATTTTGACGCAGTTGCTGGAGAATTAACGGTGTTATTAATTATAGCTAGAAGAATTTCTAGGATTCTTAGATTAGTCAACTTTCTTGATTTTTTTTTTCATTACATTTAAATTATAATATTTGTAGTCTTGTGTGTTACAGGTGCATGCCTTTAAACTACTCGAGAACTGGTGAATTGTTTGAAATATTATCGAACCCTCAGAAAGCTTTCAAGGCATTAAATCGTGCAAATAAGAAAGACAAATGACAACAACATCCAAGAGAATAAATTGAACTAGATATGGGTGACGTTTTAGACAATCAAAGTAACATAAATAATGAGAATGACCTGAACAATTAGGGTGTGGCATCTCTTGTGCCAGAAGTAGCCGTTTATGATTGGAGATAACCCACCGGTGAAAATCTGGTAACCGCAATTGTAGTCCCTAAGATATATGCAGAATCATTTCAAATCACAAATAACATGCTACATCTGCTGCAAAAAAGGATTGTTCTCCGGATCTTACATTGAAGATAAAAAACAACATCTGAAATTTTTTTTGTCAATCTGTGTTACTCAAAGGCAGCCGAATGTGACACCAGAAGCAATCAGACTATTATTGTTTTCATTCTCAGTGACTGGGGAGACTCAGACTTGGCTTAATTCGCTCTCCATAAACTCCATTTCCACCTGGGAGAAATTAATCAAATAATTTTTGAACAAGTTCTACCCATCTAATAAGACTGCAAAGCAAGTTGATGAAATATTGAGTTTTAGATAGAAACCAGCTGAAACATTGCAAGAAACGTGGGAGAGGTTCAAAGGGATGTTGCTTAAGTGTACACACCTGTCATTCTAGATCAGATGTTGGGATAGAGGTTTTACATCGGATTGGCAGATATCTTGAGGGGCAACATTGATGCTTCAGCCGGTGGAGCATTTTTTAGCAAATCATTTAGAGAGTGTAAAGTCATACTTGATAAACTAGCTCAAAACTCACGATGGATGACAAGAGACACTACAATCACTCATCTAGTTCACTCAGTAGCCCTGGAACAAAACAAATCTATAGCCGAGAATATAGCTACTTTGATCACTCAAATGAGTATCCTCGCCAGGAAGATTGACGAATTAGGCTAGAATTAGGTACACATAGTTGATACAACTAATGGAGAATTATGCATACCATGTATTAGCCAACCATATATGTGCTCCTGGAGCGGTGAAAGTGACGGCCAAAACTACTAAGAAAATATGAACTATGTGAGTAATTTTGGTGGGCAGAGACAAGGTGGTCAGAATTGGGTGCATCAAAATCAGTAGTATAGACCAACACAACAGCAATACAACAACAACACCAATAATAATAA